GAAACGGCATACGATTACCCTGCCGACGAAACCGACGTGGATACAATAGTCGAGACTGTTCAGTTCACCGAAGCTCGTGTTCGTAAGAAACTCATAGGGTTAAGGGAATTTAAGTCACGGGATCCCGATGATGTACCGGCAAAAAACTTGAAGGAGTAAGAGGTAGGCTCCTTGCATGGACAGAAAGCTTCAGAATCGGCTGCTCGCAAGTTGTCCATATCAGCGACAAGCAGTCAGCCGAGATTGCGGTGGAGACTAATGTTCCCCAAGGCTCCGTTCTTGGCCCTAATCTGTTCAGTACCTAAATGAACGATTGCATCAGAGAACTGGATTGCGGTATCGCCAAAATTGCCGACGATATCAAGCTCTGGCGCGTCATTTGAACAGAGACTGACGAAGAGAACTTGCAGGCACATCTGAATCGGTTCGAAAAGTGGTCAAAGGACTGAATTACTATTTAAAGAAAGCAAGTACAACATCATACGAGTCGGTAACCTCAATTCTTCGAACCATAGAGAGTGTCGGCTAAATGGCGTATCAATGAAAGAGATTGAAGCCCAAAAAGACATGGGAGTCTGGATCAGACCCTCACTTAAACCCTCCGGGCATTGTGCAAAGGTTGCCAGTTCTGCGTGGTCAGTTCTGTACCTCGTCAAGCGAGCTTCTTCTGCTTTTAATGAGGGTTGCTTCAAAAAAGTCTTCGAAATCTTTGTACGGCTGCAACTAGAATCCGCTATCCAAGCTTGGAGACCGTGCGCCGCGAAAGATATTAACATCCTCGAAAGGTTTCAACGGCGCAACTTCGGGGGACCTGATACTAATCTTCCGAATATTACTTGTTTGTTTTAGATGTCTTGTATCAAAAGATTTCTTCGAGTTAGCAACAACAACAAATTTGAGAGGTCAGCCTTTCAAATTACTTGTGACCGCGGCCAGGCTGGACATTTGAAAGCGTTTTTCTCCAAAAGAGTGGTCGAGTCTTGGAATCCTCTTCCTCTGGATGTCGTTCTGTTGGAATCCCTAGGGGGTTTTAATTGAAAATTGGACCGATATAGCAGTGCGCACTATAGTAATGACCCGTTTCTGCCACTGTTGCACGCTAATATTGCTGACGATGAATCCGCGACGGATATCGAAACTTCTGGCAAATAAAAGTATCGTCCCAGCGATCGAGTTGCTTTCTCATAATGCGAACTTACCGCCGCCGGCAATTTACAATTATAGTACAACGTTGTAGTTTTGTGTACTATTAGTAAGCGGCATAACGATTTTAGAAAGTTCGGCTCCAATCAGCCCATCTACCAACGTCAGATCGCAACACGACTACAACTACTTATAGTACTAGCAATATTTTCAGTAAGATGCTATTACACATGGACTAAATTCCTACCATAAATCCCATACTTAGTTCTTCGTTGTCTTCCCTAGTTGGCTATCTGTGTAAGGTGGTGACCCCGCCAGCGGACTGTCGAGGATCTGGCCGGATATTTCTGTTTTTCCAACCTTGTCGGTGTATACCGCAATCAGCAAGGAATTTTTAGGCCGCATCTTCCACGCTCGTTGATGATACCGGTGAAATCTGCAATGCCTCTCCCCGTTGGACCCTCCCCCCACGAGCGGGCGCTTTTTTCTTCTAAACCCCTCACGTCCTCCCAGAAGGCTGATAGTTTTTCTCCTAAAAATTCCTTAGGAGGTTTTTCACCGTCTGCTATTTTTTTTAAAACAACTACGTACCACCTCATGGCTCAGGACAACTGGGCTCGCCAACAAACTGAGATACCATTTTTCTGCTACCACGAAAAAATGTAAAAATAGGAAACTCAAAGGCAAGTTACCTACATATCCCTCAATTACCTGAGACTGATACGACCGCTGGCCTACTACGCTCATTATAATCAGATGCTCATCCCCCTTGTTTACTTGAAGTACAATCAGGTCATAAGTGTACGAGATCACGACCCTAGCGCCCTTTTGAAGGCAGTGCAATTTAACCTACATTTGACGAATATTCCAAAGACATTTATCCAGGGTTTCCAAAATTGCAGGCATTGGCGATCATGGATTACTTTTGATTCCCG